CCGTTACCAATGTAAATAAATTCCAAACACTGACCACATGGTCTGTAAATTATAGCACTTTCAGAAATTACTAAGTTATAGCAGGCGGGAAATTAGCTTACATACACAAATTAGCGGTGTTTATTCATTTCCTAAAATTCGTAAAATTCCTTAATGCATTTTAATGTAGCATCGGTTTTTATATGGTTTTACAGTGTTATAAAGTATTTTCTACCTCCTTTCCACATGCTTTCGCGGTGTAATTGGAAACATAAGCTATGTGCATTCGTGAGGTCCAGGGTTCGAGTTTTGGCGAGGGCAATCCACATTTTTCACGTCTCCTGCTTCAAGAAAACCTAACATCTTTACATTGTTCAATAAAAATGAACATATAAAAAATTTCAGTCAAGAAGTTAGAAAATTCGTGGCACCTTATCACTTTCACCACGTGGGCACCCAGTGGAAAAAAGGGAAAATTTCTTAGAACTCTAAGAAATTTATCACGACTTCTCCTTCCAATAAGCGTTTAAAAGAAGGAGCGGTGATTCTTTTTATATGTGCATGTTTTTATATTCTTTTTTCACATTGCTTAAAAACATGTTGAATTTTAATTAACATACAACTCTATGTTAATTTGTATTTTTAGAAAGCGATGGAGTAGAACGAGTTGTTTAACAATCCAAGTTTATAAATTGCATTTTCACTCCTTCACATATGCAATGGACCTATTATTAGTTCTGATGATATCAACTGTTGGAAAACCTGCTTCATAATGTACAAAGGGAATGAAAATTTTCAGGATCGCTGTGGAGCAGGAAGATCCAGACGTATACCTTCTAGATAGGCCTGCGTCACCAGTTTATATATAAATCAGAAAAGAGAAGTATATTTAGTTTCACAGTAGACTGTAATTAAAATATCAATAAGTTGTTCTTGTTCTGCTGTTTCAGATTCTGAAGCTGGGTCCGCGTATAAGGAGTCTTCCACTCTGTCAGCCTTTTTAGAGAAACGGCTAGTCAAAATGAGTAATGAGATGTGATAAATGGTTAGAAAATATGAACTTCTGGGTCTCGTTAAGTTTGAAATTATTTTCTTTCAAATGAATGCCTAGCAACGAAAATAAGTTATTAAAATTTTTCTGTTAGTTTTTTTTCTTTCTTTTCGGAAGGTAGACATTTTTTCTCATGGTTGTCAAATGTCGGTCTCATTACAACATAGAGAAACATTTAACTATTGAGCTTTTCAAATTACATCCTGAAGCCTCAACGCAAAGACATCTACTATGTTTCCACACCTCGGACCGCCCTTACCAAAAGGCTGGTGATATACAATTTAAATGCTTGTTTGAAACTACTACTATGTATAATGACATTAAACCAATAAAATCTTAGCAAAAGGAATGTAAAACATATAATAAATGAGAGCTAAAACTTTATTAGGCTCACTTCTTGTTCATGGCCTAGCGTATTCCTTGTATGCAGCAGACACTATGCCTAGTTTGGAAATTGCCATCTTTGAATTGGTCTCAAAATCCGTAGAGGTAAGACAATGAAAAACCAGTAAGGCACACCAGGCATTCGTGAGAATTTGTTCGATCACTCATAAGATATTTATACGATGATTGCTGTATTAGGCATAAATGTTCGATAAATGAATCAATACTTTAAATATCAATACATCTCCCTAATAATATTAATAGGTACGTGCCATTATTACAAATTCGAATATTCAATAATGATGTCCTACTGATAGCGCATAATAACAATTTGGGTTCAACGATGCTCTGGAAATAATAGCATTGGAAATTTGCAGAATGCCAAAAAGAAAGAGAACTTCCCTTCTTTTGATAATAAAATCAAAAGATTTATTATCGAAAGAAAGGAAAAAGTAGAGAATAAAAGGAGTTTAGCTAGCTCTTAGTATTTTTAAAAGTTGAATGAAAATGGAGAGAATAAAAGAGTTTAGCTAGCTCTCAGTATTTTTAATAGCTAAATATTTCTATTTTATTTATTTACGAGAATAGTTAAAATTTGTTCTTGTTGTTTTATCTTGCCACGTTTTCTAGAAACAAATAAAAAACTAAGGTTATTTTTTCTACCTGTGTACTTATGTCTACCTGTATTTTTTTCTACCACATACTAAACTTTTAGTTTAGTATATGGTAGAAAAAATCTAGTTTAGTATGTGGTATTTTTTTCTACCACATACTAAACTTAGAAAAAAATACAGGTACAAATATACAGGTACAAGACAGTTACAATAAAAATTTTAGTTTAGTATGTTTAGTATGTGTAAGCTTTTAGTTAGTTTAGTATGTGCATACTAAACTTTTAGTTTAGTATGGTGTTGTATTTTAGTATTTGGAATGGTCAGTGTTTGGAATTTCTCTCTATACTTGTTTGGACAAACAGAAAAACTCGCAAGGACTGGTTATTTAAAGGAAAGGATACGTTTAAGCAAGACGTTTAAAGGAAAACTGGCTCGTATTCACGCTATAGTACATAGTGGAAAAAAACAGGAAAACTTCCATCCATACGCCTCGTTCGCGGGATTTGTACCCAGATGGAGCTTCCAGTCTTCGGTAATCTTACCCATTAAACCACTGGTAGGCACCATTTTCCTAATTTCCGCAACTGTTCCCTGAAGTGGGCAAAAAGGAAATAGAAGAATGGTCCTCTGTACTGTTGAATGGCTTTTACATTTTACAATTCGGATTAATTTTAATTAGAATAAATTTTTATGACAAAGCAGACTGTTTTTATCTGGCAAAAGATTAATTCCTTTCCTAAGAAAAATTCCTAGTTAAAGAGATTAAATCTCGAAAAGAAGTTTAAAGAAATTAATTTTTTTTTTCATAAATAAATTCTTATAGAAATGACAGGATTAATTTTTAGTCTCCTTATTTAATTAGCGAGTCTCAAAACCTGGTTAAGGTTTCATACAGGTTCAGAATCTAATTTAAAATTAGTAGATCCTAATCTAAGTATAGAGTCACAGGAAATAAAAGTAGACAGAAATCTGAAACCAAAGTTTTCTGCTGTAGCCGTTTGTAAATTACTTGTTTGCCACTTCTTTACAGTAGAGCAGGAGTATCAAACTTCATGTCAGTAAGAGCCGCATGATAGAATCTAGTAGTACTGAAGAGCTACAATTAGAATTTCCAAGAGCTACACAGATTTCTACATGATTTGAAAAGTTGGAAAATAGAATGGTGCGAAACAGTTTGTAATGTTTCTAACTACTTAGTCTATGCTTAACTTAGTAGAAACCTTGTTGAACTATGTAGCGACTTATCGCTAAGTCCAAGTGAGTAAATGAAAAAGTTCAGAGAAGGATTAAACTCACCCTTTATAATCTCAAACTAAGAACACAGATAGCTCCTTTCTCGGGCTTACAGAAGCCTCCACTAGGGCGTTAACTCAAGATAAGAAAATAAGAAACACATCTAATGACTAAACTGAACTTAGCCGAAATCTTAAAAAAAAACTATCCAGCGTAGTTGTCCTTAATTAAATTATTAATATTGGCAGGCCCATACAATACGGCCGAGAGTAATAAGATTTAGCTTTAAACAAAGAAGTAGCCTGACGGTAAACACGCTCAACTAAGGATTCCTAAGCTCTTCTGCTGAAGTAAGCGAAATCTTCCTTTAAATACTCCTTCTACTTCATTTACATGCAGCGCGATACGAAAAACGTATTCTGGTAAGGAATAGTGGGTGGGAAACGGGACTAGACAGTAAAGCATGTTTAAAAATTAAAATAACTGTTAGAATTTTAAAATAACCTCTACAAGTTGTAGCGAATTCACTAACGAACACTTAAGTTTCGAACACGTCGTTTGTTGAAAATGTTTTTACGCTGCTTTGTATTCAGGAATATGTTTTTTAAAAAAAAATTAAGTTTTTGAGAGATTTATTGAGCTTTTAGGACTGAAAATCAAGTATTTTCTTCCGGTTTTCATTTATTTTTGAACACAGAGCTAAGGAATAAGACAGAACAGAAATCACGATTACCAAGATTATTGCATAAAAGTAATAGTTCATTTTCCCGCCCTCTAATAGTAAGGAGTAACATATGGAATCATGTACAACCCTGAATCTTAGTTACTTAATTCGATACATAAGAACTGTATTAAGAGATAAGTCTTATTTTTTCCCATGAAAGTTAATACATATTCATTGATTTAACGCACAGTCAGAAGTTATTCAAAATTATCCCGCACTTGTTGCAATTAAAAATATTAAAATACTGATAGCGAAAAGTACGATTTCTGTTTCAAATTATGTTTCAGAAATGAAATTACCATTTATTACAAAGCGAGCCACATTTAAGGGGCCAAAGAGCCGTGATCTAGCCATGGCTACAATATGGATTATGCTAACTAAATATTTTCCCCAAAATTTCGTGAGAAAAACAAGATACGAAATTCCATAAAACTTTCAGATTACAGAGAACATATTTTGATTCTTCAGAACTTTCAGCAAATATCTCTGACAGACATAAACACTACGATTACGAAACACATATTTTACAACTGCATAGTACAGATAATAGGTGCAGGCAGGGAAAGCAAACAACAGGTCTTATTCGTTCAATATAGATCGTTTCGTGTTTTATTCTCTGCGACTGAAATTGCGTGTTTTTATGCTTTTTCCTCCATGTCTACCACGGATAGGAGCTAGATTTGCTTAGAAACTTCTCCGCAAAGGCATATCTCCTTCAGCAAATACCTTTTCTTTGTTTAAATCAATCAACTAATTATACTTGAGGAACACAGATTTCATTCCTCAAAGGCGTAAGATTTACGGCTGCAAAATGACTTTTTTAGCTTTCGGATGTATAAATAAGGGACGCAATGCATTTGTTTTTATACTAGAGAACAAACTGTAATGATTACTTTTATTTAGAGTAGTCAAACAGAAATAAATATCCCAATGTGCCTATCGGAGGGGAAGGGGAACCTCTGAGTTGTATATAGCTCTTCCCTCTCCTTCCAAAACATAAATCTATAGAACTTACCTATACAACCGTAGCCATTTACAGAAAGTGTAAATCCCTCTTTGCACGCACATTCGAAAGTCCCGTCGTGCAAGTCAAAACATAAATGCTGACACGGGCTGTCTTCACGGCATTCTCCTAGAAAAGAAAAGTTAAAATAAGAAAAAAGGCAAATCTAAGATATATTTGCAAAGGTAGCTGTTCTTAGAAATACACACATACGAATATAGGGTGTAGCTGTGAAGGTCGCCTCCTTCCCCTTGTCAGAAAGCAGATTTCAGAGGAATACGCCGCGTATACTCATAACAATTATAATACAACACAATAATTAAGATTTAAAGCAATTATTCCTATTTTGATATTCGCCTTAACAGCTCATATATATGTTTAAGTACTACGTGCATTTTTAAAGCTATTAATGAAGGAAACAATTTTACGATTCGTATTTTCCAGACGTAACATTAGGTGTAGCTTATACTGGCCGATGGATCATGCTGTGTGCTAAAGAGGAATTGAAAAAGATTGATCTCAAAACACATATTCGAGAACTCCGCTTGGCCAGAATACCTAACGCTTATTCCCTCAAAACACCAGAACCAATTAATCAATTGACTAATTAATTAATTCATATAATACTATATGAATTAATTAATTCGCTCTAATCCATATTTAGAGATAATCTAATCCATCCATTACAAACTATTCCTGATAAAAAGTCCCAAAATTTCATTTAACTCTGCCTGCTCTACTTCACTCAAAATATTATCTTTTTATTTGAAAATGCCCAGTTATGTACGCAAATCTAGAAAGCGTAGTTTATAATATTTTAGGTACTTACGTATTAACGCAACCAGGCCAAAATTCGCATAAATTGCCAAATTTGGCGACCCTATTTACGGCAACCCTACGTGTTATACGTAGTTTTGTAAAAAGAGCATGTGGAAACCATGTACACGTCGACTTATTTTTACTTAAAAAAACATTCCAGAATTGCACAAAAATGGCATTGCGCACACTCTTGACTTTATCCATGTACACTGCTATTTTCTTATAAATTACAAAAATTTGCACGAAAATGCAGGAAAAGATTCACAAAATTTTCCTGCATTTTCGTGAAAATTTTTGTAATTTATGAGAAAATAGCAGTGTACATGGATAAAAGTCAAGAGTGTGCACAATGCCATTTTTGTGCAATTCTGGGATGTTTTTTTAAGTAAAAATAAGTCGACGTGTACATGGTTATGGCGAATACGGTTTTCAATCAGTGCTAAAAGCAATAGCCAAAAGATTTCCGCCGAAAAAATAATTCTGCAACTTATTCAAATTCGAAACCGGAAGGGTTTAATTGCTATTTTATATTTTAAAACAAAATAATATAAAAAACTGTATTAAAAATTATCTGTAATTAATAAATGTACATTTTCTTTCTATTCATACTTTTTTACTCAAACTTGCAAATCGCGCCAAACTGCTTGCGATAATACGTAAGTACCATATTTTACTATTTTATTAGTAGACAAATGCTGTTTTCCTCATTCATTTTAGAAAAGCATACTAGGATAATCTGTATAAGATTTGGTTTAGTTTAATTGATTATGGCAAAGCAAACTAGGGCAATCTGCGTAAGGGAAGGAATGCCTTCGCGGAGGACCTTTCTAAGGGAAACTGGCGTTACACATGGGAAAAACCACAAAAACGCCCATGTAGCCAGCCCGTTCGCCTGAAAGCGAACCAGGTCGTAACTACCTGTGTTCAGCCGCTGGTGGGCTTAATTTTTATAAGGACTGCCCTATTTACATAAAAATAACATTTGTTGACCTGAAAGGCTTTGGTGAAGCTGAACCTATTATACGTTTATCACGAGAATTTTATCAAAATATGAGATGCTTTTAACGGATTTTGTATCACGATTAAAAACACGAAACATTCCGTGAGAGACTAAAATAACCAAAATGCAATAATTTGCTTTCACCTTGAATAAAAATGATTACAAAATAATATTCTGTTTGCCGTTACCTAAATATAAAGGAAGAAAAATTCAATGCTATTATAGAGATTCAAAACTAAACTATGCAAGTTACTGTGTGTTTCTGAAATGGTTTGGTTTCATTTAACCTATCTCAGTAAGCCACATTTTTCAACAGAAAGTCACAAGTAACATACGGCACGCAACGCAGGTGGTAATAGCACGATTTTTCGTGCAATGAACAGACAACTACTTTTGTCGGAATTAACTTTTGAAAAAAAAAAAAATTGTACGATTCTAGACTATGTTCTTTGAGTAATTATTTCACGAATTAAATTCTTCGGGCAATTATTTATTCTTTGCAAAATTTCTACAGGAATTATTTCACGAATGGAAAATTCTTTATAGGTTAGAACAAAGCAAAACAATCAAATCGATCATCATCAGGCACGTTAACAGATTATTGAATGAAAACTGTTTTACCAAACCTGTTTTAATATTTCAAATATTAAATACTCTTAAAAAAGACTTAATTTTTTTAAACGGTTATTTTAATATTTATGCAGAAAAAATACTAGTTTAATAAATCTTCGATTTTAATCAAATTTTCTCAGCAAATGTGTGAAAATAGTAAACAAAGAAATTTAACTCGCAATTTACCCGTTCTTGTTTTGAATTAAAAGTAGAATTACTAAATGCAGAGTGAAGACGATCATTAAAGTTTTACTAATTAAAAGTAATAGCAAATTTGTTTCCATTTGCTTCATTGTTGTTATTTTATACAATTTTATATTCTAGAATATTTTTACGATATGATTTCCACAAAACGAAATTTTATTCCTTGTAACGAGACTAAGAAGAAAGTAGTATCAAAATTCAAAACTCATTCAATTCTGAAAATAGGCTACGTTTATAAATTTCTACGATTTACTCGTCTTCTCACTTATATTAAATTTTCCAATCAAACACACTTATTTTCATAATGATGAAAATCTTTGAATTATTCAGGAACATTCAAGTAATTTTGTAGAAACAAATGGGATATTAAAATTTCCTAGATTCTGCAATCAGAGGAGCTTGTCACAAATACTACTACAGCGCATTTGAATAAATCGGGTATGCTGTAATTTTACGTAAATAAATTTTTTAAACCGAAAGTAGTCTAAAGGAGCAATATAAAAATGGTGTTTAATAACAGGAAAAAATTTAAACAGAAACAGCAGAAAAAAACTTGAAAATCTATACTGGTACCAAAAGAAAAAATTTCGAACTAGAAATAGATGTAATTTAGCGTTCATTACGGAGATGAAATATGATGGTTAAGTTGCAATTACTACTTAGCAACACTGAAAATGATGTATTTTTATAACAGTGCATTTATTATATTGTGGGAGAAGTTTGCAATAAAATTTCAATAAATACGATGGTTAAGTCGCATTTACTGCCTAGCAACACTGAAAATGATGTATTTTTATAACAGAGCATTTATTATATTATGGGAAAAGTTTTCAATTAAATCTGCAGCTTAATTCAATTTCGATAGAAGAATACTTTTTATGAATAAGTAAGTTGATTTTTAAAACATGTCAGAATAAAAATAGTATTATACTTGTAAAATTTTTCTTTTTTATCTCTTAAAACTTTCATTTCTTCTTTTATCGATTATTAGATACTCTTGCTCAAACACTATACCAATTAGGCAAATATTAAACAGACAAAAGTACAAGAATTGTATGTTCCTGTTATTGTGTTAGCTATTGCTACATTGTTCCTGAGATTCCGATTTAGAGCACTTGACACCGCTTTTGACTTAATCTGGAGTCATCGTGCAGTTGCTGTCTGTCCGCAATGTTACATGAAGTTGAAGTTCTTGGTGCACACTCTCTTAGGACAGGCGTCTCTCTCCAGAATTTTCGAATGTTATTAGTAATGGAAACATATAAATTGTATTACTATTAAACGTCTGCAACGCCAAAGACAGTATTTAGGCTTGCTGTAAACCAAGTAGAATGCAAATACATTTCGTTTGTGATTTTACAACGTTCTGGGTTTATTTTTTAGAATAAGCTTGTAGGGTTCCTCACTATTTTTGGCTAAAATAAATGTCAAGGAAGCTAGTAAACAGTTAAGCGAGCGAAGGCATCAGCATAAATCGATAAGACAGCCCGTGTCAGCATTCGTAGACTCAAGAAGTGTTAACTATACTTTATTTCACTCAAAATAAGATGAATAGTTGGCCCATTTCTCTGGCTTACAACAAAGCCTTCACTTGGGCTTAAACTCATAATAAGAAGTAAGAACTAAATTAGAACTAACTAAGAGACTTGGCCGAAACTAACGTAGTCGGCTTTTAATTTAATATAGCCGGCGAATTTCAACAGGCACGTAATAAACGGCCGAGCGTAATAGCTTCAACAGCGATTTAGCCCGAAGACCAACATACGCTACTCAGGATTCCTAGCTCTCTTTCACGAAGTAAGTTAACCTTCCTTAAATACTACTTCTCTCTCATTTACATTCAACGCGATTCTAAAAACTCATTCTGGTAGAGAGTTATAAGTGGAAACAAGAATTGATAGGAAAGCACTTCATTACTACATTCATTACTGTTTTAAATTCTGATATAATATTTTAAATATAATTTAATAAATACTTCAGTGTGGCAATTCGTGCAGGAGTGAAACATGTGACTGAAAACAACATCTATTTTCTTGTTGGGGATTAGAATTGAAAACAGTAATGAACAGAACTTACTAACAAGCTCAAACAAAATTTTCAAAACATGGAATGCTTGTTGATTTCATACATAAGAAGAGCTGCAGCTCACAATAAGATATAGCATTCAGTGTTGAAATTAACGTGAAATTTGGCGAAAGACAGAATGTCATTTCCTCATTGTCCTTTTGTTCTTCTTTCTGCGGCTTTTCAGTAATCGAGTGGTAAAATAGGTAAACAATGGAAATTAGACTCGTGTTCAAATCTCCGTGAACAGTTTAGCTACAAATAGGTTTTCGTGATTTTCCGTATGTGTAACGTGAATATGTGCGAGACGCAATAACAAAAGTGCACTCTTATTTACTAACATAAATAAATGCGTTACAATATAACTAAATAATGTTCTTTAATTAAAGCATCTTAAACTTTAATTATATGAAGCTTAAAGTTTATTTAAAGGTTAATTAAATTTGTCACAAAGTAAACACAGTTCT